CAGATCCGATTGGATGCCCAATGCTAGTCTATGGGCAGCCAAGGATAAATGGGCGGGCATCCGTTTACACTCAGTTACCACCGACTCATGCCAGGTCGGGGAAAAAAGCAGATCAGAGATTTGTTTTGCCATTTCTGATCGTGCCAGATCGAGGGTAGTCTGATGTAAAATGGCACATATCCATTTAAATATGACTCCCCATAGACAGACTTGGAGTGATCTCATTTTTTTCCTCCATCTTGCAATGGAGAAAAAAACTGGATGGACACGGATGTCACAGTGGTGACATCTGATCCATACTGCTCTGATCAAGAAGGGATCCATGCCCGCATCCCATCCTGATCAGCCTGTGTGAAAGTGGGCCTTAAATTGTGTGTTTTGAAATTAGTACAATGTTCATACTGTTATAAATATTGTAAAAAAATAAGACTCTGCCTCCCATACTATTCAGTCCAACCGTGGGGCAAGAAATTGCATGTTTAAGATTTTTTGGCATCTTTTGAATAGAAATCAGGCTGGCTACTCTGAGTGACAGTCTTTCTTATCATCGGTTACTCACATAAACTGCAAGCTACATGTTCGAGAAGGATATTTTCCAATTTCTTTCCTCAATCTTTTTCAGAATGAGCATGAATGATTACACATGCTTGGTGTCCATTCACTGTCATGGTACACCCTAGCCACACTACACAGCCAGACAGGTAACGCACTTGTTTCCTGATTGAGCTTTACAGCTCTTGTGTCACTTGCCTACCTCCAGATTGCACACTGGACAATGAATCAGTAACGATGTTCATCCCTTTCCAGTAAACACCAGCAAGTAGTAACGTGATCTTCCAGTCTGCACAGTGTGGTAGATCATGTCAATCACAAGACTGGCTAAACTGGATTACAAATCCTTTGTCAAGCAAAATAGTTAACATGTATTAACTGTATATTTAATTTTTATTTGGTGGGCCGCTTTAACACTGCTCCTATTTGTCTTCAGTGAAACCTAATTTCTGCATCCCTCATCCTCAGATATAGTCATTTTGTAGGGATCCCATTTTTTTAGTTTATTGGTAATGCAGAGATGGGTGCCACATATAATCTTAACAGAGAATGGGACTGGTTCATGGAAACAAGAACAAAAGAAGAGCTGTGGCCTGATCAGTCCAGTATTAAATCAACCTATTATGAGGGATATGTGTAGGATATGTGTAGGCTGCCACTTTGGACCTCTGAGAATGTTAATTGTCTGCCTGTCATTCTGTAACTTTGGCTTCAATACCTTTTGTGCCATTGAGGCAGAAATGTACAGTGATGGAGTGGTCTGGCTTTTCTCAAACATTTATTTACTGCATGCTTTTTATTGGTCTGTGATTTAGGAGTAGGAACACCAGGAAACTAGCATTTTCACAAGTAAGGCCAAATGAATGCATTTTAGGGGTGTGGCTATTTATTTCTAATGAGTCTGCAACGAGCATCCATGCAAAAATCAACGCATATGACACTCAACTCATGAAAACACTTATACCAGTAGACACTGTGCAGCACTGGAAGAAAAGGGTCATGTGCTTTTTTTTATAGTGTGTGGATGCATGTTGAGGACCCATAGGAATTGAATGGACACATGCTGCAACAAACAGATGTGAATCCTAAGCCAATGATGGCTGACCCCATATTTCTCTTATGACAGGTATACTTCAACTCATCTCCTCTGGACCCTTTGCCCAGATAAGCAAAATGTATACAACATACACAAGCATAATACTCACATGCCATATTTTTATCTTCTAAATAGATACATTGGTTTAACCTACAAGCACTGACTATTGATGTACGTACCAATCACGATCACACAGAACATGCACTGAGTAGAAACACTGCATATGGACAGAATGAAAGACACTTTATTGAATATGACATCATAAAACAAATACACTATTTTTAGTCTAATAGTAGTCATATGGGTTCTATAGTCAGCCAGTACATATTTCATTTGGTGACAATCCTCTGTCAGTCAGTGTGAATCATTTTATTTTGTAGATCCCAGCACACGTCTATCAGTGATGATTATCTGGCACATTGTGGAAAGGATGTGATGGTACAGTTGTATTGTGTCACAGTCATCAGAAATAACACGAGGTATAGGGCTCAGTTTCAGGTTGGGGAATATCGATGCCCATGCTTGCAGTACCGCAGAGACTCCTGAGTGTCCAGTGTGGAAGTCAAAAAGAAAAAAAGGTCACGAGCACTTCAGCATGTAAAAAAGTCAATATTTATTGACTTCTCAGGTGTCACATCATCAGAGCAATGTTTCGAAACAGCAAGGTCCCTTCCTTTCTTGTGGAAGTCAAACATGGTAAACATAACAGCAGAATGACGTTCGGTAATCTACAGCCACCAATCACAGCTTAGATTTCAGTGCATAGACAGACATATTGTGTTAGCTAGTGCTTCTTGTACTGCTGCCAATGTGCAACAGATTTAGCCTCCCATGGTAACCAGCAAATCTGAATGCTACATATTCAGCCTCTGTCCCAAATTTCCACGTTATGCAAGGGGCTATGAAGTGGCCATATGTGTACTTATGCTTCTGCTTGTATGACCACATCTTTTAATCAAGACATTCAATATCCCGAGTTATCTTTCCCTGCTCAACAATCTGCCCATAGGTAAGTGAACAGGCTAATAAAAGCTGCATTCTGGCTGCACTGGCATAACATAATAAGTACCTTTGTTCTTTGAAATGCTGTACAATTTTAAATAAGCCCACATATGTTTGCATGCTGTTTGCATCCACACAACCTTCATGAGCAATCAGGACTGAATTATAAAGCTGATTGATTGTCACTCCAGTAAAGTTATATTTACAGTATATCTATGATGATAAGTTCTGTTGTGAAATACATTCATATCAGTAAATGTCAAGGCGTTGTGGTCTGTGATCGCTGTGTGAAGGAGCACCTGTGAGTTAAGGTGCACATACACCTTACGATTATCGTACGATAATCGTATGCGATCGACTTTTCGTACGTCAATCGTAACGTGTGAATAGAGTGCCCGACCGATAGTACTGTACAATTGTACGACTTTTGACGGTCAAGCATGTTTGAAAACTTTGGCCGATCGTACGATGTTCGCATGGTTGGTGGCGTTTCCGTCCGTCAAAAGTCGTACGATTAACATTGCGCATGCGCAAACTAAAATAATTGCGGTCAATTACCGCAAGTCGTCCAGGTGGTTTTTTTTTTAACTACCACTGACTGAACCTTGCGATAATCGGGGCAGGATGGAACCGTCGTACGATAATCGTAAGGTGTATGGGCACCTTTAGAACAGTGCAGCCACTGATGCCCCATTATCCACAGCCACATTACATTCAAAGACCATACAGCCAGACAACTAGGCAGAATGCAATTATTTAACACAAACTGAAGCCAGCAAAAGGATAGAAATATCATAAGGATGACATAAAAAATACAAAACAAGTCTAGCTGCACTATAAAGTTAGAAGAATTCTGATTTGTTGGTCGTACATCTAGTTTCTGTTACAATAGTTAGTGGTGGGATCTACCATTTGTAACTCTACTATTACCAGAATCTCTTATTTCCAGCAAAAAGTAAATTCTTTTAATTGGAGTCTGACTTAAGTTAACCCCTGGAAGTCTGGGGTGTTAAACCTCCTTCCTGTCCTGGCCATTTTTCAGTAATACGCTCTGAGATACTTTGACATTTATTCAGTCATGCAATGCCGTACTGTAATTAATTTTATATCATTTTTTGGGACAGATAGAGCGTTCTTTTGGTGGTATTTAGTCACCACTCTGTTTTTTATTTTTTACTATATAAAGATAAAAATACAGAAAATTTTGAAAAATAAACTGTTTACCCTACATTATGTTATGAAACATTTATTATTACCCATTTTTATTGGTAAAATATAAAATATTGGATCATGTCGGGTAAATAGTCGAGCCTTGCTTTCGCCAGGGAAATCGCAAAAAACTACCATACCCAAAATTGCCCATAGGTGACACTTTAAAAGCTTTTCTCATTCATCAGTTTAGTGAAATTGATGGTCCTAGGATTATTGCTCGCACGCCGATGTTTGCGGTTATATGTAACGTGTGGTGCAATCATCATTTTCGCACATAGTTGTACCCAACACGTTTACGTTTGTATGGCCGTGTATGTGCGGGGGAATTAAAAAAACATGTTTTTGAGGGGGTTTTTATGTATTTTTTTTTATATGTGACCTAAATTTTTTTACAACTTAACTTTATTCCTATCACAGGAATAAAACCTTGCTTTCAAATTTACATCCCCTATGTGATAGCACAGATACAGTGGCAGGTCCTCTCTATGGAGACATCAGGGGTCTCTTAGACCCCTAGTGTCACCTAGGCACCTGAAGAAGCTGATCAACCAGAGATCCGCTTCACCAGCTTCTTCTCCGGCTACAGCAGCCGGAGAAATGACACACTGAAGCGAGATGTGATGTAATGCACATCACTTTTGGGTCCAGTGATCATAGGGGAGGTCAGCCGGTAAAAGTATGCTGATCTCCGTCCGACCCAGCCACAGAGATCCGCTGTGCCTAGTGGAGGCAGAGCCCGGTATATCCGGCGGTGGCAGGGGGGGCACACTCCCCGGAACCATAAAAGCGATCGGGCAGCTCTATAGCCATCCAAACACTTGTATGCAACAGCCTTCATCAGCTGTAAACAACATGAACGGCTTCCCACACGTTTGCACACAAGTGGGACGTCGGGGAAGGACATTTAAAAATGCTTGTGGTGGTTAAAATGTGGTTGGTTAAAAGTGGTTAAAGAATTCTCATTCACACAGTTTCTATAGAAGTCACTATTTCAGACATATCAGTTTATAAAACCTTTCCTGGATGGAAGAGACAGTACTATATCAATACTCCATTTTATTAGCATGTTTTGCACTTGTCATCCAATGGTCTTCCCTCTTGTGGGCTTGTCCAAGATATAAATGCTTGCATCTCTAGTCTAGTAATCTTCCAAAGAATCCACTTTCAGCAACACACCTTGTCCATTTCTTCTCGGAAGAAAGCTGTGAATAGAATACAAAGAAAACACATAGGATTATCTGTCTGTGATATGTCTGAGCCCTGTCTGATGTATCTGTAGACTAAGCGGCAGCAAATTGTTAGTGACCATTACCTAAACTAACCATTATTAGGTTATGTATCACTTTGGCTGTGTAAATAAATCGCAGTATGTGTCATGCTCAGTAACACTGTCCATTTATAAAATACTGTCATGGTATAATGTAGCAGCAAGACACCTGAGCTCTCTGTAAACTGATAGCACGGTTCAGAAGTGCTCTATGGAATGTCCCATGGCTGCCTTGCCATGTGACAAGATTATATTACTTGCTAGAGAATTTATATTCTTTCAAAAAAGTGGAAGAAGCAAAGATTATGGCATACGTCATACTGAGGGGATGTGGAGAATAACTCTAGGGTAAAGGGACACTGAACATCACTTATATCTAACCTGGTTTACAGAAGACAGTTTTTGGTGCTATTCAGAAGTGAGAACTTATCACTGATTACACTTAACATAAGGGTATTGTGACAAGCAACACCATTCTACACATGGCATTTTCTGTCCAGCTATCACACAGGCATTTTGCTGACTGCCACTGTTAATTTTAACAAAAACTACAACTCTGGATATATACTGTATAAAACAATGTTATAAATATATAATCCACAGCAAACACCACTTGCATTCCAAAACCAGGCTTGCGCTATAATCTGAGGCGTAACTAGAACCTTCAGGGCCCCAGTGCAAGAAACCATGAAGGCCCCGCCCGCAACCGCCATGGCACCGCATGGTTAACAGGAAGTCTGCTGAGGTCCCCAGCAAGCGCGGGGCCTCAGGCAGCCGCTTGTTTAAAATTTTAGTGCTGGTGTTCTGTCGAGAACACCGACCCAGTATCTGCGCTTACGTACATACGGGATTAACGAGGAAACCAGCATTTATTTACAAATTATTCGTTTGTAATGGTTAATTGTGACCGTTAATAATATGCCGTCCCTGGCATGAAATGACGGATGGAATATTATTAACAGTCACAATTAACGATTTAAACAAAATACTTTGTAAATAAATCCCGGTTTCCTCGATAATATTGGTCTGTTAGTTGAGAGAAGTTGAGGTCAGCAAATTCGACTAGGTCGGCGTTCTCGACAGAACACCGGTATCTGCGTTCAGTATCGGGGCATTTTCACGACTATGAGTACTTGTGAAAATGCCCAGTATTAACACTGGGGTATCCCTACGTAAAAATATAATGAAGAGGAGAAGAAGAGAAGAAATAGATAATCCGCGCTTCTGGAAAGGAGACTAAAGTGGAAATGTATAGGTCCCAGCAATACATTATAATAAAAATCAGCACCTCACACACACACACTTCCCCGCGCACTCGCCCCCCCTTCCCATTCCAGACGTACCTTCCCTCTCCTGCAGGGCCCTCTTCCTCGTCTCTGTGGCCAGGGGGCGGGGCTAAGAGGAGAGGGTCCTTACACAGCAGAATGTGTTGCCCGGAACCTGGGATACAATTGTAGCCACTGGCGGAACTACCAGGGTCACAGCGGTCGCAATTACGACCGGGCCCTGGCGTTCCAACACTTGGGGGGGCAGCAAGGTAGAAGAGGGCCCCCCCGAGATAGTGCTGCACCTTCCCTACCGCACAGCCACCCACAGCATGTATGGGCGGCTGTGCGGCAGGGATGGAGGGGCTGTCACTGGTCCCGCGGTCCCGAATGTGCTGTTTGTTCCTCCCCATGTGTGCTCAACCTCTAACGTATTTCACCATTCCAGCTTACTCGTAGATCTCATCTCTATGTTAAAGCCATAATGGTGAAACGTGTTAGGGGAGGAAAAAACAGTATGTATTTGGTCCATAAATAAAGATTTTTATATTTGACGAAGACCCTTGGAGGAGGAGTTTCAGGAGGCAGTACAGAAAACGTGACACATGTAACATCATTACTGCTTGTAAGCAGCAAGGTACCTTGGGATATGTAGTCTTTAGAATTGGAAAGTAAACCGAAGGAATGAGCAGAGGAGAAGCCTCAAAGCATGCAAGGAATCCTGAAAGTTCTTAAAAGAGTTAGCCAGCAGATAGGCAGCACTCACGACATGAAAGAAGATTTTTCGAGTAAGCTTGGATTGTCAAAAAAAAACTACTGTTTGTATTGCTTTTACAATGCTGATGTTAAAAAAAGCGTATACTGTGACTTAAGATCAACATCAGATAACTTGAAACAGAACTAAACCCGCCAATAGTACTATTTCCCAAAAGACAGCTCAAGTGAGAAATGTTCAATAACTGCTTCTAAATCCTAAATGAAACATACCAGTGTTGTTTTCTGCAGGGTTTTCATTTACATCTGCCTACTGGCGCATGTGAAGCGTACGCGGCATTAAATGCATGCCTCTAGTGATAACTGTCAGAGTTGTCAGTGTGCTTTGTCAGCTCTAAACCGCAAATGGCTGGTTTCATAGCTGGTCACGTGTGCAGCACCATTTCCAAACCAGATCCAAACAGATGTCAAACGGCAGTTTGATAAACCTGTTCTACAAACTGGTTTGTGCTGGCGCCTTCCAGCACCTGCTATAACAATGCTATACCAGTTAAAAAAATATTTGTCAATGAGAGATTCCTTTTTGTACTTACCTTACTTATGAAGGTTTCCAATAACTTTTAGTATGGCTTTGGCTAAATAAAAACAAAAAAAAATACCTTGAGTCATTTGTAATTTAGTTTTATTCATAAATCTATCTACATGAAATGACCTCCAAATTAATAGAAGTCTACATTTATACATGTTTGGTTGAAGAGTGTCCAAATTAGTATATTTATTGATGGAGCATCTTTGAGGTAGGCATGACAGTTCATACATATGGCTGAAGAATAGTGTCCAAAATTAAAGTGATAGGTGAAGAAGTGCAGTATAGTATATACAGGTATTAATCAATGTATAACACAAGTATGTCTACACAACACATAATATTTTCCAGAAAATTCTATTATAGCTTAGTTCAATTGTTGGTGGGTTCAGTAAAGAGACCCAGTCACCAACTTAAAGAAATTGCAAGCGGTGGTGTGGCTGGCTAGCTCATATGAGAGGATGTGCAGAGGAGAGCTCTTATCTTCCATCCTGCATCTATCTTGCATTGTTCACTGCAAAGACAAACTGACCACCACTCTGCTTCAGGGAGCTGTCTGTAGAGTTCCCCCCTCCCCGACAGCGTTTTTACACCCTGTGGCCCTGACAACAACAAAAAAGAGGGATCAAGCAGGCACGGCAGGCCAAGGGCCGTAGCAGACATCCACATCATTCACCACTGATTGTGTGCAAACCTCCACGATCAGTGGAGCGCTTGGCACAGATGTCACATACTCCAGCTAAACATGCCAGTTCTACATCCATGCAGGGCTTGAGCTCTATTAAAGATCCACCTATTGTTGCTCCTTGTCAGCACAGGTGTTGGTTGGGTCGTCAGAAAGTCTAGAACAGGGGTCAAACACAAAGCCGGTGGGGCGAATCCTCCCCGCCAGGCTATTTCACGTGGCCCTCGCACCTCTCCTGCAGCACCCCCTCATCTCCGCCCCCACCTTGTCTCAGCAGTTAGCAGCAGAGAGGAGGAGAGAATAGTTTGGATATACTGACTAGGGATGCACTGATACTGGTTTCAGTGCTGATACTGGGCATTTTCACGAGTACTCGTACTTGAGAAAATGCCCCGATACTAATCGTCAATACTGCCGCTTTACATTTTTTAATTGAAGCTGGTGCTAGAAACAGGCAACGGGTTTCACAGGAAGGTTGATAAGGTCCCCAACAAGGTCCCGGTAGCCTTTCTGAGAATTGTGGTGCCTGTTTATAGCGCCGGCAGCAAATCTCCTGCACAGCCACCTGAGAACCTGCGCAGCACACCATAGAGCCCGCACAGCCCGCCTGAGAGCCCACACAGCCCACCATAGAACCTGCACAGTCATCTGACAGCCTGCACAGTTCACCATAGAACCTACACAGCTATGTGAGTGTCTGCACAGCCCACCATAGAACCTGCAAAGCCACCTGAGAGTCCGCACAGCCCACTATAGACCCCACATTGCCCACCTGAAAGACCGCACAACCTATCATAGACCCTGCATAGCTCACCTGAGATTCTGCACATCCCACCATAGAACCTGCATAGCCACCTGATAGTCGGCACTATTACACTAATTGCCATTATTTTTCCTAGATTTCTACTTTCAGAGCTAGTAATTAGGTTATTACTAAAACCAGTAATAATAGAATGCAGATGCAATTATATAATTTGATAAAGAGTAGATACATTTAAATAATCTTACAGACACAACCGGCCCTCTGATGGCAACCATAATGCTAAATCGGCCCACAATGAAATTGAGTTTGACATCCTTGGTCTAGAAGAAGACTTGGACACAGTAAGTAATCATTCTGGGACAGTAAAATCCCCAAATTGCAAACATTCTGAGCTCACTCGCGAAGATATTTTTATTGCAGTCCAATCCCGTAACACCTCTCTGGCCTCCCTTATGGACCAAGAAATGCATGGTAAGAGGGCGGATATATCATTTTTCCACCATGATTTGCAAATGTCAGAGAGAGGGCGAGTTCTTGAGAACAGGGTTTCTCAACCTTTGTTCAGTTACGACACCCTTTAAAAGTATGCAAGATCTCGAGGCACCCCAGCCTAAAATGTAATAGATTTTAAGGGGGATCTCATGCAAAAACAATGAAAAAACTGGGTTTCGCACTTCACATTGAAGTGTATAAGAGTATACACTCACCTTTTCAGCTTTTCTCCCTTTGAGTTTGGAGGGGAAAAAAAGAAAGAGAAAGAAATTTAATTTATGTAAACGTAAATGTAGTGTCTCTATAGTCTCACTTTTTAGTTTGTTTATGCAGCTCTTGTGCTCATCAAATAAAACATGCTGAACTCTGATAAAAGCTTGTTTAAATGTAAAAAACTTTAATGACGCATTCACATGGAGATGTGCGCATTTTAATGCAAGTTCATATTTCTATGGGCCCTTAATGAGATTTAATGCACCAGAGAACATTCCTGTC